AAAAGATAACAGATCCTGAAAGAATGAGATTTTGAGATAAATAAGTATATTCATGTGTCTTTTCATTAAAGACAAACAAAAAATTAACAAATCCAAATGTCTCTGGTTTAAACTTTTCTTGTGTTCTTACTATTATAATTAATACCTCAATTACTTTAATAAATAAATTAAAAAAAAACAAACAAAAAGGAATTACTGTTGCTTTTGTAATATTTCCATTAATCACATCAAAATTAATAGTTGCATTTGTGAATATAGGAATTCCATTTTGATGAATTGGAATATATGGTGTTATTATTCTTCCATTTTGAAATGAAAAACGACTATACAATGAATTAATTTAAATAAATAATAATAATAATATATACACAAACATTTTGAACATATCATTATAAAAGAAAGTTACTCCTAAATCATTTAATGAAAACTGAGTTCGTTCACCAAATTTTGGTCTTGCACTATATGGTAATGGTTCCCATTTATATATTACATCATTTGTTTTAACTTGATACTGTGTTGATATTGCTTCTCCTTTTTGATATTTACCAACACTTAAACAAATAAAGACCATTATAATCAATAACTTCATCTTTGGTCTGTATTACTTTTTAAGTTTATTTTTTCTTTTTTCTTATTTTCTGTTATATATAACGTTAATATTCTTTTTATCAAAAAAATTTGTTTTATAATAAATAGAATAAAACGAACTAAGGAACTGAAAAAAATGATTTTTTTTTAAAATGAACCATTTAATGGGACAGTTACCTGAAGTATTAACTAATGATTATTGTCAAAATATTATTAGAAGAATGAAAGAAAGAGAAGGGAAATTAGTAGGACTTCCTCATAATTTAATTATTGATATATTAGTTAAAGGAACAGAATATCTTCGATTAACTGATAACTTGATTAAAATTGAACCTGAAAAGAAAGATGATGATCATTATTTCATTATTGTAGGAGATTTACATGGTCAATTTAATGACTTAATTAAAATTTTTGATAAATTTGGCTATCCAACAAAACAACACGTTTATATTTTACTTGGTGATTATGTAGATAGAGGAGTTGATGGTTTAGAAATTTTAGTTACAATGAGTATTTTAAAATTAACAGAACCAAAATCAATTTACTTTTTAAGAGGAAATCATGAAAGTTTAGCTATGAATTCATTATATGGATTTACTGATGAAATTAAATCTAAGTTTCCACAAGATTATATTTCAATATTAAATGTTTGTAGTGAATTTTATAAATCTCTTCCTTTAGCAGCAGTAGTTGCTAATTCTGCATTTTGTGCTCATGGTGGAATTTTTTCAAGAAATGAATTAACACAACCTGGATTTATTGAAGAAATTAATAGTATTGATCGTTTCATTGATGAAGACCCAAATAATCCTATATCATTATTTAATCAATTATTATGGTCAGATCCTGAACTTGCTGATGGTTTTAAGAAAAATGATTTTAGAGGTGTGGGGATTGTTTGGGGATCAAAACAATCAAATTTATTTCTTCAACAAAACCATTTAAAATTTATTATTCGTGCTCATGAATCACCTGAAGCTCGTTGTATTCGTGTTCGTTATAGATTAGGAGGAATGCAAGACGGTTATGTTCAAGACCATTGTACTTGTGAAGGTGGTGCATATACTTTGTATTCTGCACCTTGTGATAAAGTATGTATTCAAGGAGTAATACAACCATGTCTAGGGGCTGTAGCAGTTTTGTTATACCCATACAACGAGTTATGTTTCCAACAATTTTCATGAATAGAATGTCTATGACTGTCTTAAATCAAATAGTTTTATTTAAATAAGGTTTTCCTCTTATTGTTAATTTAAAAAAAGAAAAATTTTTTTCAAAGGTTTGACTTATTATGTTTTTTACTCATTAATAGCCAAAGTCAGTGACATTATTCATGGATAAGATCAAAAACACCTTTTTCTGTTACAAAACAATCAAATTGGTATACGAGTATACCAAGCTTCTGTTCAGACTCAATCTTCACAAGGGTATCAGGTTTGAGAATTCTATGATCATTAACTTCATAGAGCCCAAAGTCGCTATCCTTTAACAAACTCCCTGATGGGAGAAGTGTATAGAGCTCACCCTCTTCTATTCCTTTTGGTTTTTTTGCTTCTTTTATTCTTTTTGGTTTTTTTGCTTCTTTTATTCTTTTTGGTTTTTTTGCTTCTTCTGTTCTTTTTTGTTTTGCTATTTCTTGAGATGGTGGTTCATTTGTGTGTTCACTTGAAGCATTATCACCAGTTATTGTAGTATTTTTGTCGTTGGTTAGACTACTAACAAAGCCTTCAGATGAAGTTTCATTTAATGCTTCAATAAATGAGTCACTCATTTGATTATATTTTTCAGTTTTTTTGCTTTATCTTATTTATAATAAATGACATTTATAAAAAAAGATGGAATTATAAATTAGTTAAACATGAAATTTGAAGTTGAACAATACTTCTAATTTTTATTGCAATTAAAGAACAGGTTTATCATTTTTGTTGACTTGCTATTTTCGTTCGCTTTAATAAATTACATTTGGAAGGAAATAATCTTTTTGTAAAGTTCATTCAAAGTAAATTTATTTTAGAACAATTATTTTATTATAATAAAATTATCTTTTTGTACAATTTTTTTTTGACTTTATGAATTATATTTAGATATTTAATTTTTTGGATTGTTTTAATGTTATTTAGATGATTTTATCCTTTTTCAATCCACAGAAGATAACAAATAATCTTAATCATTTTATTAAATGGTATCAACGAAAAATATAAAGAAAAATCAACTGAACAAAATTATTAAAGTACCCAAAAGAATAAATAATAAAAGAATGGTAAAAGAAATGCAATGAAAAATGAATTAAAAGTAGAAATGAGGAAAGAAAAAAGAACAAAAAAAACATAAATACATGTAATACTAATAAAGGTAATACTATAAGAAATATATCTAATTATCAAAGAATGAGGTTAAAAAAATACGAAAATGAGAAATAAATTGAAAAAGGGAATAAGAAGAAATAAATATAAATAGATAAAGAAAATGATAATATAGAACAAGAGGTATGTTCAATCCAAAATAAAATGAAAATGGATAAAGTTAAAAATGAAATTAAATTAAAACTAAAAGAAGAAGACAATAAGGAAGAAATTAACAACTAACAGAATAAAATTAAAAAATTAGAAGAAGGTAATAAAGAATATGAAATTCCCACAGAACGGTTAACAATAGAATATAAATTTATCAATATTTAATTAACTTTTTTTTGTTGTATTTATAAATATTATTTTTCAAGAAATTAAGCTTAAAATAGACTTAAATAAATAGTTAAAATAATAAATTAAAATATTATAAAATATAGGATTTCTCTTGCCTCATTTCTTGGAATAGTCTTTTTTTGTTTATATCAATACCTTTTGAAATATTAAAAAAAAAAAAAAGAAATAAAAATAAAAGAGACCAGGAGAGAAATTATTCAAATGAAAAAAAGAACTTTAAATTTAAAAATTTGAAGAATTACTTGAACTATGGATTCACTAGTTTCAAAGATTTCAAAAGAATTATACGAGTCATATACTAATGACACAGCTGCTTTTCGTAGTTCAAGAAACTACCCACCAAAAGAAGTTTTTTTTGAGTTACAACAATTACAAAAAATCTTTTTTCCTGATTTTTTCATGAACCACCAACACATCTCACAAGCTCATATCTCATTAGAACTGACACAGTTTGTTGACCACATCTTATCTTCAGTTGCAGGATATAACGATGATGCATTTGCACATCAATGCCTAATGAAAATGTTAGAAAAGCTTCCTGTTATAAGAGAAACTTTAAAAACTGATTTAATTGCTGCGTATGCTGGAGATCCAGCTGCACCAGGACTTGCATTAATTGTAAGATGTTATCCAGGATTTCAAGCAACAATGATTTATCGAGTGGCACATGTTTTATATGAATGTGGTGAACGTTGGTATTGTAGAGAATTGATGGAAAGTGTACACTCATATACAGCAATAGATATTCATCCAGGAGCATCTATCAAAGGACATTTCTTTATAGATCATGGAGTTGGAGTTGTTATAGGGGAAACAGCAATTATTGGAGAATGGTGCAGAATTTATCAATCAGTTACTTTAGGTGCAATGCACTTCCAAGAAGAAGGTGGTGTTTTAAAGCGAGGAACTAAAAGACATCCAACAGTTGGTGATTATGTTACTATAGGAACAGGAGCAAAATTATTAGGTAATATTGTTGTTGGAAGTTATGTGCGTATTGGTGCTAATTGTTGGATTAACAGTGATGTTGGAGATAATCAAATAGTTTATATTTCAGAACATCCAACTCATGTAATGAAACCATGTAAATCTTGTTGTGAAACTAAAAGTGATGAACAAATAATCAAAATGATATCACCATCACCTGCAGACTCAATAAGTCCAAAAAGTTCTCCTTTAAAGTAAAGCTTCTTTTAATTTAAATTACCTTTTTTTTAG